GGAGTTGATAGTCGATGTAGAAATGACTTACTTTGGAGATATCTGAATTTGTTTTGGAGCTGAGGCAGAAAAATGCTGAACTGCCGAGGCTCATTTACTTTGAACGTAGTTGAATTTGTTTTTTGGAGCTGAGGCAGTGAATTGCCCAGGCTTTAACTTTGAAGTTAGTTAGCTGAATTTGTTTTTTGGAGCTGAGGCAGTGGACTACTGAACTATCGAGGCTTATTTTCATGCCTCAGTACATGTGAGGCTTGTGATGTCCGCCTCGAAGAGCCAATGAGGTAATCCCTTTTGGGACCTGATCCTCTTCTCCGAAGCGCTCACGCTTCCTCACATGGTGGATGGTTCATCCTTGCGGAGGCTTTTCTCATGACGTTCAGCCTCATCATGGGAGGCATGTGATGTACGCCTCGGAGTGCAAATGAGGTGGTCCCTTTGGGGACCTGATCCTCTCCTCCGAAGTGCCCACGCTTCCTTACATGGTGGATAGTTCATCCATGTAAAGGCTTCTCTCTTGACATTCAGCTTCGTCAAAGGGAGGCATGTGATGTACGCCTCGAAGTGCAAACGAGGTAATCCCCTTTGGGACCTGATCCTCTTCTCCGAAGCGCCCACGCTTCCCCACATGGTGGATGGTTCATCCATGCGGAGGCTTCTCTCATGACGTTCAGCCTCGTCATGGAAGGCATGTGATGTACGCCTCGAAGTACAAACGAGGTGGTCCCTTTGGGGGCTCGATCCTCTTCTCCGAAGCGCCCACGCTTCTTTACATGGTAGATGGTTCATCCATGTAAAGTCTTATCCCTTGACGTTCAGCTTCGTCAAAGTGAGGCATGTGATGTACGCCTCGGAGTGCAAACGAGGTGGTCCCTTTGGGGGCCTGATCCTCTCCTCCGAAATGCCCACNATAATGGGGCCTCGGCTAAACAATGATGGCCTCGGAATAAGGGCCTCGATGACACGTCAGAGGCCAGAAAAACACATCCTGATTCAATTGGGTCCTACCGTCGAAATATGGTGCCACGTAGTGCTTCTATTTATGAGTCGTAACAACTTTCATTAATTCAACACAAAACTATAAAAGTCCACAAAGTCTACAAAAGTTATCACTTAAAAAAAGTTTATAAATTCAAATTTCGTGCTCTTACAAGTCTCTAAGACCCTGTTTGATATCCATTTTCCAACTTTTGTAGTGTTTGATAGGCAAAATTTTCCTGAAAAATATTTTCCAACATTCCAAATTTCCACATTTTTGAGGAAAATAAATTCTTGATGTTTTGGTGGGTAAATATTTTCCAGTTTTTTTCTTTTTTCTTGGCAATTGGAAAAAATTATAGACACAATGGTAAAAAAAAATTTCACTTTTATTGACAANGCTAGTAATCCCTAATCAAAAGTCAAGTCTTCTCAAATAAATATTTGAGGCTTAACCAGGGCATTTGGTGCATCTTTTATTTCATGCACCTACTTTTTTTTAATTTTTTAATTTTTTTTTTTTTTTGCAATTGAAACAAATTTTAGACCCAATGGTGGAAAACATTATCACTTTAATGAACAATTTTCATAAAAAACGAAGTCAAACGGATACCAAACTTTCAACAATTTCCATGAAAAATTATACCAATCAAACACAATTAATTACAATTCCCAGTAAAATAATATTTAGGCAAATCAATTCCCTACAAAACATTTTACTTCCACCAATTTTTCACATTTGCAATCAAACGGACCATAAAAATCCTAAAAATACTAGAAATTGAGTCCTAATTGAACTGAGATTTCTTCATTTCGGTCCAGCACAAACTTTAAATGTCATTAAACTTTTAATAAAGGTATTTGTACAAAGTTGAGTTACAAAGCGTGTTGAAAAAATTCAGATCGTTGATTTCAAATTATTTAAAAATCTGTTTTTAGAGTGTGTTTGGTAGGGATTTTTGGGGGAATAATTGATTTTTGAATAGTGATATGATGGAAAATATATGGTTAAAAAGAAGCAAAAAGTATTGATGTGATGGAAAATATTATTTTATTGAAGAATGTGTGGTTGAAAATGAGAATTGATTTACTGTAGAAAATGAAAATCTGTACCAAATAGGCCCTTAGTGTTGGAGAGTGGTAATTTACAACTAGGGAAATTTCAGCTACGCCACCCAAACCTTTCAAATCGTTGCAAGTTTTATCCTAACCTTTAATCTATCGCATCTATGGTCCCAAACCTTTCAAGTTCGTGCGACCGAAGTCCAAATGGATGGAAACCGTCCACTCCACCGTTAGTTGACCAAGAAAATTAATTTTAACCACATTTTTAATAACTTAAAAGAGGGCAAAATAGTAATTTTATATTTACAACATTAAAGAATTAAAATAATTAAATAAAAATTAAAAAAGAAAAAGAAGAAATGAAATGTTCTTTCCCTTCTTCTCCAACACGCCACCCCCAATCCATCACAACTAACCAGGAAACCCATCCCTCACACTAAACCACCAGCCGTCTAATAATCACCTGCACCACCACTACCTCCTAAAATAGTCGATTACCGTTGCACCAAAAACCCACAATTTCTTGAATTCATTCATTAAAATCTCCCAATTTCAAATGTTTAATCCTGAATTTAAAAACTCATTTTCAAAATTCCCAAAGTTTCCTTAACACAATAACCTTTTGTACATTAGATTTAAGATTTGTATATGTTTATATTTAGAAGATGATATGTTATTTGAATGCAATCTTGTTTGAACAGTGGAGAGACTAGGAGCAAACATCGTTGAAATGGAATGTTGGAAGTGTTAGTTTGATGCCCTTTCGAGTAGTATTTTGTAAAATGACATTATGAATTAACGTTCGATTATTCACATGTTACAATTTGAAACAATTATCTAAGTTTACATGATCATATACGATGTCACNCAACGAAGGTTACAAAGGGTTCAATCAACACAAAGAATACAGATTAGAGACTTATCTCTTCAGGGATTCAACGGATCTTGGTTGAATCACACAAGAATCACCAGACCGAAGCTATCAACAATTACAGCAGACAGAATCCACTCACCAACAGATTTCCATACTTGAAATCATGTATTCTAAAGCTAACGCTTGTAAATCATACAAGAGAACAAAAGATTTACTCTGAACAAATCACACGAAAACCCTAAGTACAAAGAACTCTCTCGAAACTCTCTCAAACCCTAATCTCAAACGTGAGAATGAAAAAGTGTAGTGAACAGTCAACTTCCACTTATTTACACTCCAGATCAGATTTCATCCAACGGCACCAGATTAAGAAACCAGCATATTAAGTAAAATCGTGTTTCCCAGAAAACACAACTTTAAGTGAAAATATAAGGTAGCACTACAAACATGGTTCGAATCCCCAACAATTTTAATGGAACAAACACATAGTTTGCAGCTTTATTTTGCTTCTTGTGATGAACCAAACGAACCTAATTCACCACTTTTAATTGCGGTGCTGCTGCTGTTTAACCCCTTTCATGGCTCATTACTTTTTCCAAAATCGATTATTGACGGATTGCTATTACTTTCGTTTAGTGTGAATAATCGAAGAAAGATGTTGCAGTAAAAAATTAAACATATTTATTAATGGACTTACGAATACAGAAGAATCATATCTACTTTGAATAAACTGTTAATAATTCAAAAAAGAATATGAATAAACTAGTAATGGCAATCAAACAAAGGAGAGGCGGAGAAGACAATAATTTCTTCGGATGCAAAAGAAAATTTGGATTCTTGAAGATCATCATCTTCTGGTTCTGGGGCAGGAAGATTAAGATCTAATGACAACAGGTTTCTAAGTTTCATGGCTTCTTTAGACTCTTCATGTTGACTATCAGGTGCCACCGCCGACAACTGCATCCGTCTGTGCCGCCTCATGTGACCGCCTAAGGCTTGGCCGGAGCTGAATTCAGCTCCACATATAGAACATTCATGAACCCTAGATTTGTTTTGTGGGTTGTAGCCTGGATTTCGGCTTGAAATTTGAAGTGAAAGAATTGTACGGTGATCATAATTGATTTGAACATTGGGTTGATTTACTTCTAGGGTTGTTGGCTTAGGTTTCTTGTGACTAGCCCTGTGTCCACCAAGGGCTTGGAATGAAGGGAAACATCGGTTACATGTCTTGCACCGGTAAACCACAGCCGCCACTGCTGCTGCTGTCTTATTGGTGGCGGAAGCCTCCACCGCCGCTGGTTCTAATGATTTTGTGGTTTGGCTTTTGGCCAAAGGAATTAAACAGTTGGTCATATCTTCTTCTTCTTCATCAGAATGTTCATCTGCATTAGGTGGCAAGGAGGTGAAAGGATCAAAAGTACCTGAAATATTACTTGCACCACCAAAACCACCATCACTGGCGGCCGTGTTGCATGAGCTGGTGATGGCCATGGTTAATGCAAGTGGCGACGACGGCCTTGGCCGCTTGGTGCACTTTCCTTTGATTATATTGTGGTGATCCTTAGCCATAACTTGTTCTTGAGCTTGCATAGTATATAGCTATATAAATAGGTAGAAAAATATTATCGTACAAGCAAAAAAAGAAAAACTCTGCTTTATTAGGCGGTTCGGACCAATCCGGTACCTATATATATGGGCTTAAAGTTGTTGAGGGTGGTGTTTATGGGTGAAAAGGGCAGCCCTCAATGAGATGTTACTCGAAAGTGTATAGTAATATTGTTTGCAACAAGTGAAGGTATGCATACATACATGATACATACATAAACAATGTTACATATGGGGGGAGAGAGAGAGAGAGAGAGAGAGAGATGGTTCAATTGGCTTTGAAGCAAACCCATTTATAGAATTCCTCATGGATTATTAGAGCAATAAACCTATTTGTACAAAGTTGAGTTACAAAGTGTGTTGGTAAAATCTAGATCGTTGATTTCAAATGATTTAAAAATTCGTTTTAAAATAATTGGTATAGATGTTATTTTGTTGACCAACTTTGTAATCCAACTTTGTACATGTAGCATAACTTATTAGAGAGCAAGCCTGGCGTACACAATTTGCACCACCCCATACTACTTCTCTATTCCTTATCTTGTTCTTTCATTTTTATTTATATACTGATGACTCGTTCGACATGATTTTTGAGACATTAAAAAGAACCTTTGAAATTCAAAATTTATTTTTGAGCCAGTTTGATTAATTTTATGTATTTTTCTAATAAGAAAAGTTTTAAGGAATTGATCCATTGCGACTTCCTCTAATAGATCTTATAGCAGATGAAACTCTTTTAAAAATTAATTTTCAAATACGAATTAAGTTCGTTTTTTCAAAAAAAAACTCTTCTATGAGAAGTGTGATCTATATACAACGAACAAGTCTTAGAGACGAGACTCCGGTACAAAAACCTCAATTACAATAAGAACTCAGACCAAGGGTCCAAAAAACCTAAACACATCGTCCCCATTTGCCCTTTCTTTTTTTATTGGGATAAAATGAAAACAAATTACAAATTTGAGATCAAATGTGCCATAGATGATAATGTCTGCTAAAAAACAGTTAAAACAACTAAATTTTCAGCTATATGTGAATCTTTTTGGCTAATGATTTTGGTTAAAATAGTTTTTTTTGCTATATTTTTATCTTTTATTTTATTTAAATATTGAATAAGATATTTGAAAAGCGTTCGATGAACTAGAAGTCCCTATGGACTTTCTTTCTTTTTCTCTGATAAAAGGAATCAAAAAATTATTACACATTTTCCATAAATTTTATATGACAAAATTAAGCAATTACATGTGCAGTTGACCCACCTACATTAATTGTACTTTACTATAGTGAAAACTCGTAATTAATTGACTTATGACCCATAAATCACGCTGATTGAATAATAATTAAATTAAGAAAGAATTGCAGTTGGGGTTCCAAATCTTTCAATTTATTGCAGATTCTACTCAAATTTTTCATTTTTATATTCACAGTCCCAAACCTTTCATCTCAATTGCAGCTGGAAGACATGTGAATGGAATTCTTCAATTCCTCTGTTAGTCAACTGAAAAAAATCAATTTGCCACATTTTAATTAATTTTAAAAGGGTAAAATTGTATATTTATATTTTCCTAAATATTAACCATTAAACCAAAAAAAAAAAAATCACCCTATCAAACACACCCTAAAATATAAATTGTTCATCTCCTCAAAGCACCGCGCCCCCACCCTACATCTACCTCAAACACCAAACCAAATGTTAGTGGAAATTGTTTCTTGTACATAACTATTTACACAGCCTTTATTTAATTTCCATTTTTTTTTAAAATACAATTTTCTCTTTCTTCTTTACAACCACTCTTTTTTCAATAAAATAATATTGCACAAAAATTAAATATTTTTTCAATTTTTTAATCACACATCTTTCATCATTCTACTTTAACAGGGTTCAAACATGCTCATAATGCTTTACATAATAATGAGGTGTCAAAATATAAGTGAGAAAGTTATTTGATTGATAAGATTTTGATCTAATTAAATCTCGTACATCATTTTTGATAAATCATTATATAAGTTGTTATGTACATGTAGCACAATCGAACGCTGGTAGAGGTAAAAGGAATGATTATTCTATTTGTACATAAAAATGGTACATAAGAGATTACATAAAATGATATGAAGGGAAAATATTGGATGAAAAAGTTGATAGTGTTTAAAATTGGCAAATAGTAGTGTCATGCGACACTATGTAATCTCTTATATAAATCTTTATGTACATGTAACAAGATCTAAAAGAAATAATTCACCCACCACCGCCTCCACCACGTTGACGGTTGACCATCGACTGACTCGTCGAGACTTGACTAGCCTAGATTTACTCCACCCATCAAAATCCCTCATTATATATACACACACATACTAGCGTCTCCACTATTGCCATTGTATTTTTTTTAAGAAATAAGTTAAAATTACTTTTAAATCACGACCACATTTGGTTACACATTTCATAGTGTCAGAATCACGTCTTACCATATTGGAAGAAATTATGAATATGGTTTTGTTCTTGTTAACTATGTTTTCATTTGGTTAAATTGAAAGTTGAAGTCTTTTTGATGTTTCTTGATACCTGCAGAATTTGAGTTTATATAAAGGAATTGGCGGTGGGTGGAGGCGGTGGTTGTCCGTCAGCATTTGGTTTGGTGTTCTGGGCATGGGGTGGGGTGTTGGGGGAGATGAACAAATTATGTCTTTATATTTCTTTTAATTATTTTTTATTATTTTATTGTAGAAATATAAAATTACAATTTTAAGCTAGTAAAATTAATTAAAATGTGATTAAATTGAATTTTTTGGGTTGACTAACAAGGAATAGAAGGATTCCTTCTATATGTCCTCCAGTTGCAATCGAGATTAAAGGTTTGGGATTGTGAGTGCCAAAATGAAAGATTTGAATATAGTTTGCAATAATTTGAAAGGTTTGGGACTTCATATGCAATTCTCCCTCAAATTAATTGATTAAAAATCAAATGTTTTCACTCCAATGATCATGGGGGTTGGTGAAGTACGGAATAATTGATGTGACGTAGTATTAATAATTTTCTTTTCATAGTACTTAAAAAGTCCATTCTTTAAGAAAATTCACGGATAAATTTCATTTAAGGTGGCTGTAATTTCACTTATTTGTTTAATTGGGTAATTACTCTTTAATTCAATTTCAATTAGGTGTCCAATTATGTCGCTTGAACTGACATGGATGGATAACAGAATCAAAAACTATGGTCATATATTTCACTAAGGTTATCCCATGTTGAAACTAACAATATTTGTGATGATCATCATATATTGATCCGGGGCGAAACCAGTATTTCGGTTCAGCTAGGGCGGAGACTTTTGACCATTAACCGTCGACAATCAACGATCGTAATATCCCAATCGTTTATTAAAACTTGATTAAACAATATTAAAAATTATTCAATATATATGTAAATGCGTTAAAACGTAAAAATTATATATATGTGAAAATATAACTCAATACAACCCGAACTTCTGAAAAAATATACGATACAATCTTAAAGAGTGATTTGATTCTATCACTTCTTTGATCGGCCCAGTTTTGCCATTCGAATCTTTACCTTGACTAGACATTTTGAGTTTAAATTATAATTCTAGAAAATATTGTAGAACTATCAACTATGTACAGTACATGTATAGTATACACATTATTTTGTCAATTCTACCATTGCCTTATCACAAATTTTTTTCAGCAAAACTATATTTCATGTATCATATTCCACATGCTTCCAATTTTTAAGGTTGGTGTCATTTTTTTCTACTTGAACTTCAGCATAAATGGCATGGATTAGCCGAAAAAAGAGAGAGTGACGTGTTCAAATTCTACTGCTAGAGAAAATTATACAAAGAGCCCAGCTAGACAATTTGTCAAACACAACAAGAACTGATTGAAAAATAAACAGAACTCCATATTCCATTTCGACTTGGTCTAAAAATCAACTTAGGCCATGTTTTATAGCCTAGAAAATGGGTGGAAAAAGAAAATGTTTTCCAACTTTAACTAATCAAGGGTGTTTGATAGCACAAATTTGCCTGACTTTTGTTTTTCCCACATTTTTTAGGTACAACCGTTTGATGCACATCTGCTTGATTTTGTTTTCCCACCTATTAGGTGGGAAAGCAATTTCCTTTTTTTTTTTTTTTAAGTAATG